TAAAAAAATTTTTTTAATGTTTATTTTTGACAGAGAGAGAGACAGAGACAAGCAGGGGAGGAGGCGCAGAGACAGGGAGACACAGAATCCCAAGCAGGCTCCAGGCTCCGAGCTGTCAGCACAGAGCCCGACACGGGGCTTGAACCCATGAACTGTGAGATCATGACCTGAGCCGAAGTCAGATGCTTTACCTCCTGAGCCATCCAGGTGCCCCTCCACCTTTCCAACTGTAAACGGACCATGTGTCTTAAACGGAGATGTCGGTACCGTAAGTAGAGAAGCTGAATCTCAACACGGAGCGAGAACGACTAAAACCAAAGGGCGATGCCACAGGGACAGGAGATTCCAGCCAGAGCCTGCCGCCCGCCAAAGGCCAGGCCCCTCGGTCCAGGCGGCCTCTGTGATACAGGGGCCAGCAAGTAAATATTCCAGCCTCGCGCGCCACACGGTTCCCTTTAAAAGCAGCCCGTCAACCCCGCCAACGTGGCGCGAAAGCAGCTATGGCCGATCTGGACACCAGCAAGTGTGGCCCCGTGCCCATAAAACTTTATTCCTGGACGCGGAGATGTGGATTTCATAGCATTTTCGTGTGTGATGAGGTATTCTTCTTTGGATTTTCTGACTTCTAACTGTTTAGAAAGCATGAAGGCCGCTCTTGGCTCGCGGGCCATACGGAAACTGACATCGGGCTGCCTGGCCTGCGTGCGGTGGCCCAGGGCCTGGCTCCAGAGACTCGCCCTTGATGTGGCCGCAGGGTCACGAGGTGAGTGACAAGGCAACACTCACTATTTGCCGTCCCGGGTCCACCCGGCCCTGGCGATGTACTCCACCCTGGGGAAGAGCGTGCTGAAGGGTTGTGCCAGCTCCTTCTCTTGGGTCGCCACGATCTAAAGGGAGAGCGGACTCAGGTCACACGTGGGCCCGACCACAGGTTGCCTGGGAGGAGATGGCCGCTGCTGGGGGGGGGGGGGGGGGATACTGTGTCCCCCAAATCCCTATCTCGGGGTCCTGACTCCCGGTGCCTCAGAAAGGGCCTTATTCGGAAGCAGGGCGGCTACAGTGTCATTAGTTAAGGTGGTGCTGGAATAGGGTAGCCCCCTTTCGTAAGGGGGATGTGAGGACTCAGCTGCCAGGCAGAGGACACCTTGTGACAAAAGGCAGGACGAGGCGAGGAGCGGGGCCGGGAACAGACCCCCTCACGGCCGCAGAAGGAGCCGGACTGCCCACACCTTGCTATCAGACGTTTAGGCTCCAGAGCCAGGAGGCAACATGCTTCTGTGGTCTGAGCCCCCGGCATGTGGGGCTCTGTCAGGACAGCCTATTGGCTGGAAAGCGAGGGCTCTGGCCTGGGCTGTCACCACAGAGCCAGGCAGCCTTGGGCGACACAACGTCCGGCTGCCGCGGCTTCCCGGAGGCCAACGGGGCCGGCGCTCGGCGGTTCCGGAGGATGGGCCGAGAACCACGTTGCTGGCAGGGGCTCAGTGAAGCCACCTAACGTCAGGTCTGTGTAAGATCTGCCAGAACGTTCTGGTGCGGAGTGTAGAAAGGTTTTGGTCAGGGTCTGATCATTCCGAAACCAAAACCTAACCCCCCATCGGGAAAGTAAGCACATTTTATCTTCCGCCTTTTGGGAAACCTCACACAAAAAGTCATCCCGGCACAAACGTCCCAGAGCTTCCTCAGCCTGTCTGAGTGCTCTGACCTCTGACCTGGGGGGAGGGGTGGTTTCCGTCTGACCTGGCATCCCCTCGGCCCTTCTCGGTTATAGCCTCTCCTGCCCTCCCGGCTGCGGGGTCCTGAGCGAGTGCTCCCGGGGTGATAAGGACCCTTGTTGTCGATACTGACCCGGGGTGACAGAGAGAAGCGTCTGGAGCACTGACCATCCCGGCGAAGTTATAGGTGAGGACCTGCCCAAATGCCAGGGACGGGGAGTGGCCGGGGCGAAGCTCTAGTCCCCTGGACGACTACCCAACAGAGCTTTCTCCTCTGGAGACTATTCTGGAAGCTCTTGTGGGACCTTCTGCTGAAGGACCGCTCCTCAGCATCGCCTCCTCACACCCTGGGACCACCCAGAGGCAGATGAGGCCGGGCCACCACTCATTTTCGAGACCGAGGCAGGGTGATGGGGCGCTACAGAGGCAGTGCCTTTTCGGGTTCACGTGCCCCTGGAAAGGGGGCAAGCGGCCTGCTGATGTCGCCCAACTGTCCCCCATCTCCACCACCTACCCCGGCCCCCACCCCTCCTCACCCAGCCCCCCCCCGCCCCCGGGCACCCTGGCCACGCTCACCTTGCCCTGACTATCGGTCTGAAACTCGGCCAGCTTCAGGGCGATCTTGGGATTCTTGCTGCCTGCAGAAATGAAAGGGAGGTGAGGCCGGCAGGTGTCGCCCGTGAGGGCTGAGAGCAGGTGTCTGGGGCGGAGGCTGTGGGGTGATGCCCTAGGAAGGTGACAAAGCCAGCGTGGGAGGGAGGGGCAGGAAGGGACCAGGTATCCAAAGGTCTCTCCGTGGGCACGTCAACGCTCTGGTCCGGGCACAAAGTCCCTCGGGCAGGCCTTTCTGACTTTGGCCCTGGACCTTGTTCCGCGACAACCGTCTTTACCATTTAAGAATGCAGGCCAGACCCCGTGCTGGGTGGGAAGGCGGGTCGTGGGGGGACAAAACGTAAAGAACATGCCTCCCTGCCTTTGGAGAGCCTGAGAGTTGGTCGCAAAGACAGGGCACGTCCACAATAAGACCGTCAACGATGCGGACAGGTGACACGTGTCCCCCGTGCCTCAGCTGGGCCCCGAGCTGTCGGGAGGCACGTGGCTTACTGGCTGGGATGGCCAAATGGCACTCGCCACAGACAGGTGCGGGTCAGGCTCCAGCCCCTCCTACGATCGGTCCCTACCGTGGCCTGCACGGTGCTCGCCCCGGGACGGGCAGCCCCTCTGAGCCTCAGCTTCCCACCCGTGCAGCGGGGCAGGAGGAGGGCCGACCCTTCCCACTTGCACCAGGGACGGGAAGGATCCCTGGAAGGCCCTGTCGGGTGGAGCACATGGTAGGCGCTTCCCACACGCTTCCCAGGGGACCAAAAACAGGCCGAGCCCGGCCTTCGACGTATTTTCAGTTAGCTCGCCAAGCATTTTTAAATAATTCGAGGAGCGTTTAAGAAGCAGGCCGTTTCCTGGAGCCATCTGGATTTCTGGCCTCCTCGAGAAGCAGGGCAAACTCGAGCCTGCATTCTCACGAGGTGCCAAGTATCTGACGTGCCCTCGGATGGGGCCGCACCCCCAGGCCCCCCCTCTCGCGCTGTCTCTCTGGGCCCCGAGGTCACCGATAGTGGCACCGGCCCCGCTGCCGTTGTCGAGCCCGGCCTGCCTCTCTGGGTCCTGGTTGGTGCATGCCTGCCCTGCTGGGCAGCCCGGGCCACTGCCCAGTGCCCTCACCTGTCCTGGGGTATCGGTAGGAGTCCGTCTTCCTTTCTTCTAGCGCGGGAGAGGGCACATGAATAATTTCCACCTCAGACTCGTCAACTTCCTCATACAGGATCCGCAGCGTCTTACAGCCTTCCGGACCTGGAAGGAGCAGGGGGAGCTGCTGGGGGCGCCACACGTCCCTGCTGTCACCCCACCTTCTGCCGCACATAAAGGGGACCCAGCTCTACCATGGCAGGGCCCGGATAAGAGCCTGAGCCCCCGGGCTAGAAGCCTGGCCCTGCTGTTTACTGTAACCGTTACATCTCACGCCAGGGCCTCAGTGTTCTCACCTGCGCGATGGGAAGAACCGAGCCGTTCCTAGCACGAAATGGCATGAGATGTGGCCCTACGTGGCATTATGGGGCTGAACTGAAATCCCATGTTGGGAGCCCCCAGCACCTCAGAATGGGGCTGTTATTTGGGGACAGGGTGTTAGAGAGATGATGAGTTTGAGAGGAGGTCATCAGAGTGGCCCGATCCAATCTGACTGGTGTCCTCATAACAAGACATGAGGGCACAGACACGCAGAGGGACGACCACGCGAGGACACGGGGAGAAGACGGCCGTCCGCACACCGAGGAGAGCGGCCCCAGGAGGAAGCAGCCCCGGGGACGCCTGATGGCCGACCTCCCGCCTCCAGGACCAGGACGGTAAAGGCTTATTGTTGAGCCGCCGTGTCTGGGGAGCTTGCTTCTGGCGGCCCCCGCGGAGTAACACGCGGGGCTCGGCTCAAGAAGGCTCGGGATAAGAATCGTGACAAGTGCGTGAATCCCCGAGCGGTGGCCGCTTGGAAAGGAACGCGGCACGGGCGGTGCTGACCTCACGGGGAGGGAGCCCACGGCTGTTGCTTCCTCCTGAGGCTGCCGAAAAGGGTCCCCGTCTGCAGTGTCCTATAGCCCCACCGGAGACTCGCCCCAGATGGAGCAGGGGTGCCTCCAGAACCAGCGGCCCAGCCCCACCCGGTCTGCAGGGGGGGGAGGGGGGCACAGGAGGGGTGAGCCGCTGGCCTGAGGCCATACGGTGTGGGACTGGCCGCACCGCAGCCCGAACCCCTGCCTCAGACTTCTGCGTCCACCTGCCCCGCACGAAGGACTCCTGGGCCCCAGACCCCGACAGCCAGGAAGAATACTCTCGGGTTGCCGTGGCCGAGGAAAAGCCCCATCCCTTCATGCGAGACAGCACAGGAGGTGACCCCAGGTGTGGGGTCTGGGAGGGGGCTACCCCAGATGGCTGACGGCCGTGGCGTCGGCGGTGGGGGGGGGGGGATTCTTCCTCAAAGGGGTTTCTGAGCCGGTACCAGCACGCCAGAGAAAGGACCTCTGAGATCATCTAGACCAGCGGACCCCAACCAAGGGCCGTTCTGTGTGCCCAGGGGTCGGTCACCTGAGCTGGTCAGAGCCCGAGGAACACCTCAAGTAGAGGTCAGGGATGCTGTTCAACACCTCACAGTGCTCAGGACGGCCCCCAGCACAGAGGATGAGCCAGCCCCGAAGTCCAGAGTGCCGAGGGGGAGAGATCCGGTTCGTGGCCAAGGACCCCATCCTACCGACCAGGACGCTTCAGGCCTGCAGACCCCGGACCCTAGCTCCAGAGGCACGGGCCCCGGGGCTACACGCCGCACGGCAGCGCGCTGAGGAGCCCGGCCCAGGTGGAAGGAGAGGTCATGGCCCTGTCCCCTGTAACCTGCGACCCGGCCTGAGTCTCGGGCAGCACCAGGCGGCCTCAGGTGCCCCTCTGATGGGGCGACCCCTCCTGTTCCTGGGAGCCGACTCAAACATATCGTGCTGGCTTCTTTGTATCACAGGATTTAGTGTCTTGCTTCTGCTGATGGCAGAAGCATAAGGTCTTCTTTCAAGTTAATTTAAGGACAAGGTGAGTTGAACTAGAGGCAAGAGCGAACAGGAGACGGGGCTCTGACGGCAGACGGCCGGAGCCCGGGGCCGGGACGTGAGCACCGCTGAAGCTCACAGGGGTACGAAGGCCACGGAGAAATCAATTAGCAGCACAAGAGGGTCTGATGCTACCGGCACGTTCCAGAAACAAGTCCCCCACCCAGAGAAGGTGGATCTTGCTTGACCGAACACTGGAGGGGACAAGATACCCCCGCACTACGGGGACAAAGACACAGAGATACAAAAGGACCCACTGATCTGGCTTCTTCCATAAAGAGGAAATCCATCAAGATCGAAGCCGTGTGTAGCTTCCACTCAGCTCTCTTATAGCTGGAACTTTCTCTGTGGCAGGATTCAGGATCCTCGGGCCTGCTGACATTTGGGGCTGGATCACTCCTTGTGGGAGAGAGCCGTCCTGGCCACTGTAGGGCGCAGAGCAGCACCCGTGGCTCCTGCCTGCTCGGTACCAGTAGCCACCCAGTCGTGACAACCACGGATGTCCCCAGATGTCACCTGGGGTCTCCTGGGAGCAGAATCGTCCCTGGCTAAGAACCACTGAGAACTCCCAGAAGATCAGAAGATGTATATAAAAATGTTCAGGGGTGCCTGGGTGGCTCAGTCGGTTAAGCGTCCGACTTCGGCTCAGGTCATGATCTCACGGTTCGTGGGTTCGAGCCCCGTGTCGGGCTCTGTGCTGACGGCTCAGAACCTGGAGTCTGCTTCAGAATCTGTGTCTCCCTGTGTCTCTGCCGCTTCCCTGCTTGCTCTCTGTCTCTATCTCAAAAATAATAAACATTAAAAAAATTTTTTAAAAAAATGTTGGCCATAGCACCGTTTATAACAAAAGGCGAGACCCAAACCAAACACCGGCAACAGCCGAAGTGTCGGTAGGTGTGGAACCAGTTAAACACGCCGTGGCCCATCATCACCCCAGGGACAGTGAGTCAGCAGAGTCCTCTGTGTCCTGACTGCAACGGACGGAAAGTTCGTACCCCCAAATTCAAATGTCAAATCCTACCCGAAGGCGCTGCTGGGGGGAGGTGGGGCCTCCGGGAGGGGATGAAGTCAGGAGGGCGGGAGCCCCGGGAATGAGACGAGCGTGTCCTCACGACAGAGGCCCAGCGAGCGCCCTGCCCTTCTGCCTGTGAGCACGCGGCGAGAGGACAGTGGCCGTGAGCCAGGAGGCAGGTTCTCAACAGACGCCGTATCCGCTGGCGCCCCGGCCTTGGACGGCTCGCCTCCAGAACCCGGGGGAAAAGAGGTTTGTTGTTCCCCAGCCCCCCGGGCCTGTGGGGTCCTGTCAAAGCGGCCTGAACGGCTTGGGACACGACTATCGACACAAAAGGCTCTGCGGTTTGTTTTAAGCGAAAAGAGCCAAGAGCAGAAAAGCAGGCAGACCGTGGCTCCGCTACCAGAAGGAACGCGCGGGAAGCGCTTTGGCAAACGCGAGGGGGCCTACCCTCCCCGGAGGCGGCAGGGCACCACCAGTAGCCGGTGAAGCGGTCGAATTCTTCCTGGATGACGAAGGTGGCCACGCCCGCAGACCTGGGGTCATCGAGGACACTGGGTGAGCCTGGACAGGGAGAGAGCCGCGTGCGGTGAGGAACGCAGCGCACAGCCGGCCTCCGCCCCCAAGCGCCGCGCGCATTCGAGGCTGAAACATCCTACGGCTGAGGGCGTCCGGAATGCTGAGGGGTTGACCCGCAGCCCCGGCCCCTGCCCGCTCAATGCCAGGAGCGTCCTTAACCAGCCACCACAGCTCACGGTGTCTCCGGACGCGGCCAGCATCCGTGCCGCCTGGGCTAAGCTTCAGGTTTAGGGAGACAGCGCTGGGGCTGAGGGCAGGAAGGGCCGTGTGACCGGAGCCCCTGACTGGTACAGAGCTCCACACGACATCCGGGAGGAGGAGGTCACTTCTGGGGAGCAGGGGGGTGAGGGAGAACTCAGGGAGCACGTGAGACCCGAGCCGCCTGACTCGGAGGAGACGGACGGGAACGGGGCGGGGGGGGGTTCACGTGAGCAGAGGCAGGACAGCCACCCCGGCCGACTCACACAGAGAAAACCATGGACCAGGCGGCCAGACTCCCCATGAGGCCGGGGCAGAGCCACGCAGGGCACACAGGCAGAGGAACCGGGACAGCAGGGTCCAAGAAGGCGCCCGGTGGTCGGGGGTAACGGGAGTGGGAACGGGGGCCTTTCTGGGAGCTGCGCCGGGGGCTGTCCACACGAGCACCCACCCGGGACAGGAGCCGGCCCCCTGTGTGGCCTCACCTCTATGGCAGAAGGTCAGCCGCCGTTCCTCGCCTGTCTCAATGTTGGCCACCCACAGGTCATTGTTGTTGATGAAGGAGAAGAAGGCGGGGTCGGCAGGACAGATCTTGGGGTCCATGCGGGGCCCGGTGCACTGGGTCTTGATTTCCAGGGGCTTCATGGGGGACACCTGGGGACACAGAGGTCTGGCTCAGGGGGACGGGAGGTTGCCCGGCCACCCGCCCTGCCCCCAGCCGGTGACCAGGGCTCACCATGAAGCCGTTCTTGCCCCCGTCCCGACAGTGGAAGAGGCTGTTGCTGGCCTGGAAGAGGAAGAGGCCGCTCTCGCTGTGGAAGTCGTAGGAGGTGATGCCAAAGACCCCCAGGCGCTTCCGTTCCCGAAGGAGCTCTTCCTCCCGAGAGTAGACTCCGTGGTGGGGAGTGGCCTGGGGACACACACAGATGGGCCCGCGTCAGCAGCCAGGAGCCCGGCACCCGGGCACTCCTGGGAGGGCTCAGCGCACCTGCCGTGGCTCCACACCAGAGAGAACTTTCTGCTGAGCAGAGCTGTCCAGCGGAGCTCCCCAACCGGGGGGCCATGAGGTGCCCAGGCGGGCTCGGCAACAGGGCTGGTTGACAGGCTCCGGGCTCACCCGAGGCTTCCTCCCCTCTGGGCCCGTCTCTGGGCTCGCCTGGGCCCACATCTGCCCAGAGATCCTCTCTGAGGCAGACGGGGCTCTCCCCTGGCCGCCGGCACAGGCGGCTACCCAAGGTACTCTCCCCTGCTCCCCAACGCCAATGCCGCAGACGCCCTCCCTCCTGCCCTGAGCACCATCCCATCCAACCAGAGCTTTGGGTGAACCCTCCCTCCACCACACACTTCTGCTTTCTGCACGGGGGGGGGGGGGAAGCGGGGCAAATTCAGGACCACCTGGCCACCCAAACACCCAACCCGGAGGGGTCTGGGCGCGCGGCTACCCCGAGGAGAACTCTGAACACGACAACGACAGGGCAACGTTCCCGGCAAGAAACGCGTTTTTGAAAAGCAGAACCCGGAGTGCAACGACCCCCCCCCCCGCCTGGTGGGCCTGGAGCAGAAGTGAGGGTGGTCACACGGGTGTGGAGAAATGCACGATGTGCCTCCACCCACCACCTCCTGCTGCCACGACCACAAAGAAATCAACATAAACCACGGCAAGAGGCACCCCCGTCCCTCGCCGGCCCTCTTCTCCCTAGGTGAGCCGACTGTGGATGAGGTTAAGTACCAGCCAAGCCTCCCCTGCAGGAACCAGGTTGGTTCCAAGTCTTTGTGAGGCGTGGAAAAGACACTTCTGGTAAGAGCGCTCATCAGAGCCCGCGCTGGGGCTGGAGCGCAGCGGGAAGGGGGGGCCTGCACCTGTCTCCCTCGCCCTGGGCGGGGGTGGGGGGGGGTGGAGAGGGGGCCCAGGGCAGCGCCGGCCGGAGCCCCCGCAGCACGGAGCCCCGCAGCACGGGCTCACCTGGAAGTGATCCAGCATCTGCTTCCAGGACAGGAGCAACAGAGCCTCCTTCCGGACCTTCCTGGGGATCTCTGAGTAGAGGAGGGAGTTCTCGCGGCTGCCATAAGGCATCCCTTGGGGAGAAGAGAGAAAAACCAGAATGGGTGACCTTGCCCAGGGCGAGGACAGGGCCTGGGGCAAGGGCTGGCCTCAGGGGTGACGCTGGCTCCCCGCGGCTGGCTCCTCTCCAACCTCTCCCTCCCCCCACCTCCCCCCGCACAGCCCTCCCCACAGATGCTCCGGCCCCGAGTTCGAGCCCATTAGCAACAGTAATGGGATCTTCCACACCTGAGAGGTTTGGACAGACGCCTTGTGCTAAGTTACCGAAGGACTAGCACGCAAGAGAACAAAAGGGGTCGGGGAAACCCAGCTCTCAACAGGTGAGGCTCGGGGCTCGGGTGTCTGTTCCCGTCAAAGTCTTCTGCGGAGGCCAAGGATCAATCCGGGGTCAGAGAAAGAGCAAACGTAGGAAGGGAGCCGGGAAACGTGCACCCCACCAGCACCCCTCCCCTCGGCTCCGCTGGGCCCCGCCGGCCCCCACCCGCTCGACACCAGGAGCGCCTGGGTGGTGACAGCCACAGTCGCCCCCAGACGCCCCCACTGATCTAATCTGAGCCTGTCTGCAAGAGGACAGTAGCCGTCTGGTGAGGCTACTGTGGACGAAACGAGCCGGACGCAGAAGGCGCGTCACGCGGTGTCCCCGATGGGTCGCTCGGAGGGACGTGGGCTACTTTGCCAGTGATGTCGCCGTTTCTCGTGTTCTTGCCTCTCGGCTGTGTCCTACTGTCAAAGGGGCGGTCGTGTTCTTAGTGGCAAATGAAGCAACAGCCTCTCTTCCAACCCGCAGCGTCTTCAAGTCAACGCATGACGGCAGGGCTGTTGTTAACGGGCTAACAACGCCGGGCCCCTCTCGGTCCCGTGCTCTCCAGGGGGAAGACTCCATGTGGCGGTGGCGGCCTCTTCGGGGACCTCCTCGTACGCGCTCTCGCCTCTACGAGCGGGGGACAGGGAAGCCCCGTGCCCGGCGCCTCTGGGGCCAGAGCCTGACAGATAATGTCTGTTCTCGTCACGACTCTCTTTACGGACAGCTGGTTCATGTGGCAATCCACGAGGGCTTTCCACTTCCGATCAACGTGGCACGGGAACTTCAGTTAGCAACGGAAGAATGTATCTCAAGAGGAAAGGTTTCAAGGGCAACCTTAGGAAGCTCACGCTGAGGAAAACGCAAAGGTGATGTAGACGTGCGTGTGGGCCACACCCGCGGTTTCATGGCCAAGGCCCCTCGACACTGTGCCACTGTGCCGTCTGCCTCTCATCCCCAGCTCGAGGCACAGGCCTGACGCCGCCCCCCCACCCCCCCGGGGCATCCTTCCTTCTCAAGTTCATGTGACAGGTGGGGACAGACAGGTCGGGACAAGAATCTCACGGTGCATGAGCCCATTTCCGTGCAACGTCCAGGACAGGCAACCCCAGAGAGATAGGAAGCGGACTCATGGTGGCCAGGAGCCGGGGGCAGGAGGGGAGCGAGAGCTAATGGGTCCAGAGTTTCTTTCTGGGGTGACGGAAACGTTCTGGAATTAGACGGTGGGGTTGCACAACGCTGTGAGTGCACTAAAAGCCAGAGGCGCCCACCTTTAGAAGGGCGAGTTTTAGGTTCTGTGGATTACACCCCGTTAAGAAAAGCCGCGCGGGAGCCGCGTGGAGGGCCGGGAGGAAGCAGCCGGCAGCCCGAGCTCCGGACCCCCTGTCCTCGGGGCTCAGCGGGAGAGCCAGAGGCTTCCCAACAGGAAGTCAACAGAACGGCCTTGCCAAGGACATCGGAGCCACCTCCTCCGCCCAGCGCATTAATAAGTGACGGCACCAAATGGCACAGAGCAGCACATTCCCTGCGGCGCCCTGGCACCTGTGACGGTGATGTCACACGCTGGGCGTGTAAGCCCGGGGTCTGATTTCTGCTGTCCCTGCCCCTCCCCTGCCTCCCCCCTTGCCAGCTCCACCCCACCTCTGGGGACAGCACCCCAGCCCCCAAAATCCACCGGGGTGGCAGGTGGCCCAGATGTGCACAAGCACCATCTTCGGGCACTGTGGCCTCAGGAGCCAGCGTGATGGGCATGTGACCCGCACTGGGCCCGGGCTCTCCTCTAGGTCACGAGGACACAAGAGGCCCCCTCCCCCTGCTGAGGGACTCCCAGAGTGGTCACGGGCCCTGCGTCGTCCTCTGTCCTACAGGAGACGCCCACCTGCAGGGGACAAGCCGACCAACCCACACGGAGCCGGAGAAGCTGCGGTCCGAGCCCTGGAACCTGACCGCCACCATCATCGGCCACGGAAGCCGGCACATTCCCTCCTCTGCTGATTTTCTTCGCACTGGACCTCATCCGTCGTGTGCATCCGACAGAGCCCTCCCTGAGGCCCCGGTGACGGTGAGGCCGACGCTCACTCAGGGGGGAGGGGCTCCCAGGGGAAGCACGCCGGCATGGCCCTCGGAGGCCCCTTCTGTTCCATCTGCAAACACGGCTGGCTACAGCGTTCCTGGGGCCATACCAGCACAATGACCTATCATGAAAGTACTCGGGGGCTCCAGGGCGGCGTGCCCCAAGAACCTGGACATGAAGTGAGCTTCGGGGCACCCCGAAGGTACTGAGTGATGCAGACGGATGACCTCAAAGGTGAGCTACGTCACCCCAAAAGAGCAGGATGGCTCGGAGATGTCCGGGGAAGGTTCTGGGGTCTCCGCCAAGTCCACAGTCCTTGTCTAGGGCTGTCTGTCCCCTACCCGCCGTGGTGGCAGGCGTCCTACGGACCGCAGGGACCCACTCACCCCAGCCCCAGCCCCACGCACGGGCCGCACACAAGACATCTGACCTACGTCGAACCGACCTAGTTCCCGCTCCCAGAAATTCCGAGAGCTTGTCCATTTGTGCGGGCAGCTGGAACCTGAGATGGGTCACCCTGGGCGCGTGGCGGTGGAAGGCAGGTGTCCGGTGGGGGCGGATGTGTGGAGTAGAGCGTGTGCGGGGCAGACACCTGGGCCCCTCGCAGCTCCTGGTTCCCAGGGCCACGGCCTGAGGCCTGGGGTGGGGGCTCCCTGGCACACTCGAGTCCTTCCTGTGAGGTGCCCTTGGTGGTTCAAACCGGCTCAGGGGGTTTCCATCCCTTTCGGCAGCTCTGCGGTTGGCTGAACAGTGGCCCCCAAATGCTCAGGTCCTGATCCCCAGACCCTGTGAGCACGTCACCTTCTGCGGTAAGAGGGAACCTGCAGAGGGGATTCAGTTAAGGATCTGGAGTTGGGAAGAAGCCTGGATTACCCGGGTGGGCCCCGAACGGAATCCCGTGCCCTCATAAGGGAGACCGAGGCAGACTTCAGACACAAGGCAGAGGAGGAGGCCCCGTGCCCCGGCGGCCACACCTGAACTCAGAAGAGGCAAGGAACGGGTCCTCCCCCACAGCCTCTGCGGGAAGCGTAGCGCGGCCCTGCAGACACCTTGACTTTGGCCCAGAGAAACGGATTTCGGACTTCTGGTCTCCAGAACCGCGACAGAACACATTTCTGTTTGTTTTAAGCCACCGAGTCAGCGGTGATTTGCGACAGCGGGAGCCCCACGAAACTCATACACGTATCCGGCCCAGGACGGCAGCCTGACCTTGAGTCAGCGAGGAAAACCGAGCTGGGGGCCGCGGCACCACGGGGAAGAGAGAGGCGGCGGCCGCCACAGTCCACGTGTCCGGGCCACCTCTGACCCCGAGAGCCACGCCCCCTGAATGACCGTCGCCCGAAGCACGCCCAATCCTCGTCTCTCCCAGGCCCGAGCTGGCATCCCTTCTCTGTAAAGGGCCACGCGGTGCAGATTTTCAGCGGCCGCAGGGGGCACACGGCTTCTGCTGCAACTACGCTCGGGAGCGGCCGCGGAGGGGACAGAGAAGAACGGGGGCGGCTGAGGCCCAGCAGAACCAGATCTCCAAAACAGACGGCGGTCGCTTGCTGAGCTCTGTTCCCGATCCCTCCTCTTCCAACCCCGCGCTCACCAAACCACCAAGGTGCTTTCCACACACGTCTGTCTCTACGAAGGGGTGCTGCACCGAGTCTGCGGAGGGCAGAGCCACCCGGCGTCCAGTTGCTGCCGTGGCCCTCGGCAGGGGTCAGCCGCAGGCAGAGGACGCCCCTCGCTGACCGGTGCGTGCCACCCCTCACGCCAACGCTGACCGAGGGCCCGGCCGGGGCCAGCATCGTCCCGGAGGGGCCGTGGGTCCTTAGAGGACGGTCAGGCCCCGAATGTCGAGTCGAGGGCCGAGGCTGAACACCTGCCCCGGGTCACCAATCGTGGGCCGTTGCTGCTTCCACAGGGACACGCCCGGCCCCGTTGCCGCAGGGGCCCCGCGAGACCTTCGGGCAAAGCAAGGCAATGTCCGCTTGCTCAGTAGAAACTCGCTGCCCACCCGCCAGGAGCCAGGCCTGCGTGAGGCCCCACCGGTTCCCCCACAGGCTCTCCCGGGGCCGGCAGGGAACACAAACCCACGAACGGCCGCCGGGGATGCAGACAGCGCTGCCCCCGAGGCACGTGGCGCAGAAGGAAGCGACGAGCAGGTAACGTGCTTATCCAGGCGTCTGGGGCGAGGACCGCGATCGTGTGACAAGCCGCTTGTGTCGTTTATCCCCGGGCGCACTCAGACAGCCTTCCCACGCGTGGGCCCACGGCGCGCACCCACGGGAGTTACCGGTGACTCCGACGGCCAGGAGCCGCTCACTGGCCCGGCCCGGCCCGGCCCGGCCCGGGGAACTGGGAAACGACTCAGGGGCAGGCCCAGCTGCCCTGGTTCTGGAGACGACTGTGGCGGCTCAGAGCCACATCCGAGGCCCAGCCACGGCACGGCTGCAACCCAACGGGGCAGGGCCGCCCTCTGCTCCACTCACCTGCGCACCTGCCCGCCCCCTACCTCCCCCCGTGGCACCCTTGCGCCAGACCGCTGCTGCAAACGGAAGTCACCGTGGGTGGCACGGCCTCATGGGACATCTGCCCAGGGCCAGGCCATTCTTTTTGGACCTCCTAACCGAGAGGACCGGCTGGGCCTGAGGGCGCCTGGAGGGCTCACCCAGGTAGTAGAGGCGGTGGGAGTGGGGGCCCGACTCGTCTGTCTTCTGCACGAACTGGAAGTCGTGTGGAGCCTTGTTGACGATGAGGCCCGAGTTCTTGCGGCTGCCGTGGATGATGTTCCGGAGCCCGTCCCACGAGTGTTTCTGCACCTGGAAGCGGGAGGCCGGGTCCTCCGTCCCGACCGCGTCGCCCCGCTCAGACGCTGGCGCCCCAGTGGCCATCCTCTCTGTCCCCTCAGAATTCAGCGACAAGCTGTAAGGGGGAGGGGACAGCGGGGAGACAATGAGAAAGGAGGATGACGCCCATGTGTCACTGACAAGCTGCCCCCTCGTCAGCCGCTCCGGAACCCCCCCGACGAGCCCCCCCGCAACTGTCCCAGCCCCCCTAAACACGTCCCAAATGCGTCGTTCTATTTCTTTCGAACACCACAAATGCTTCCGAGATCCAAGCCGCTGCCACCTGTGTGCCGAATGACCCCAACATCTCGCTAACGGACCCAACACATCCACCGCAGATCTGACCCCATCGCTCAAACGTCTTCCTTGCTTTTCCACAGTCCTGGGGGTAAAAACCAGTCCTTGTCACGGCCTTCAAGGCTCTCTGTCCTCTGACCCCCGCCAGCCCCTCGAACCTCATCCCCCTTTTATCAGTTGCCCAGCCAAACTGGCCTTCCGTTGGCCCTTCCAACAGGCCAGACTCCTTCCCACCTTTGCACGTGCTTCCTTCTGCCTGAAACACTTTTCCCCTCTCTCCACTTGACTAACGTCCAATCAGATCTCAGTGTAAGTATCTGTCGGGTCCTCAGAAACCTTCCACGACCATCTGTACCGAAGCTGGTCTCTCCATTAGGCGCGTCAGCGACTAATGTCCCCTGCCCTCAGAGCACTGGCACAAGGGTTGTCTGTTGATCACCTGTCCCGTTCATGGCAGTGGCCCCAGAACCCCAGGAGGCCCCAGGCTCCCAGGACGCATTCCACAGCGGGCCGTGTGGAATGATTATCTTGCCTTAAGCCCTCGGGGAGACACGCTCGCTCACACGCAAAGAACTGAGCGTAAAGAATTAATCGGCACAGCTCGTCCCCCATGCCATCCAGCCTGGGGTCCAGCAGGGGAAACTCGTGCCTCACGGGACAGGCTCAGAGAGACAAGCAGCTGTGCACAGACGGTGTGAGAACCCCAGCAGAGAGAACGGACGCCCCTCGGGACAGCCCGCCCCACCCCTCCCCCGCTCCCTGAGCAGCTGTGGCCAAGGCCCCGTCCCTCCCTTCTCTCCCCTGGCTGTTGGGCACATTTCTTGAGCGGACTGGACTAGCCAGGCAAATATTTGCTTTAGGGAAATCTAAACATAGCCACAGTGACCCGGTTCCGGAAGAGCCGGGCTCTCTAGTGAGGCCGCCAAGGTGAGCGGGGCGGCCTCCCTCTCCTCCGTGGGCATCGGACGGCCTAAGGTCTCGCTGAAAGCTGGGCCTCCTTGTGCTCTGGGATTAGCGGCTTGGCTCTGGGATTAGTGGCTTTGCTTTACAGGCGGAGCCCGGACTTCACTGGTCAAAAGTGGGAGTTGTTACTGCTACACAGAGACAGGGACAGCCCAGGCCGAGGGCTTCAGAGAAGCACCAGGCAGAGCTGTGCCCACCTTCACACGGTGCCCTCCAATTCCCAGAAGAGCCTGTCCCTTCACAGCAAGACACCCCCCCGAGTCCCCATACGGGAGAAAGGACCCGTCTTCTGCTTCGAGGGGCAAGAGGAGACGCTTCTGAGCATGGCCTCCGTGGGCCGATTTTCAGAGTTCCCTTTCCACCCCGACCCTGTATCAGACGAGGGACAGAAAGGCCTCCCTGACTCCATCCCACTGGACCCAGCCAGGGCTCGGGGGGCTCGGGGGGCTCGGGGGGCTCGGGGGGCAGGCGGCTCCTGCTCCCCAGCCACAAAGAGTGCCCCCGGTTCACAACTTCCTACGATGGCTTCGAAGACACGGATCACAGGCCATCAGGGCTTTTGGGACCCTCGGGGCAAATGAACCCAGGCCAGAAAAGACGGGAGACCCAGTGAGGCTCACGCGCAGCATATCCTGGCCCGCCCCCAGAGCTGTGGTTTACCTCCACGGGCGGCGCTGGGCACGGGCAGTGTCAGGCAGGGGCTGGGGCCAGGACGGGCGGAGCGCTCCAGAACCCACATGGCCCCGAGCGCTGCTGACAACCAGCCCAGAAAACCAGGACAGGGGACTCCTCCGACCGGCCCACCCCCCCCCCCCCACCCCCCACCCCCCCCCGAAACTGTGGCCACCGTTCAGGCCTTGCTCACGGCAGCAAAACCGATCACAACCTCCAGGGTTCCCAAAGGGGACCCCATAAGCTGAGAGCCGGGCAGAAACGCTCACAGAATCATGTGGCTTATTTCCATAGCAAGGAACAATAAAAATGATCTTGCCTCCGATCACTGCAGAGAGCCCAAGGAGCAAAAATGTGATCCAGGAGATGAGAAATGAAATGAAACATCGGGAGAAACTTCTAGGAATCTTCTAGATGTGGCCAGGCGGTCTGAGCTCCCAGACAGGCCAAGGCTTGGTGCTATGACTTGGTCCTCCACTCACCTCTCTTCCCCAGAAGTGCAGAGAGACTGCAGAGGAGGCGGGGGAAGGGGAGGAACAGGTGAACCAAGTGCCCCGCTTCCCATCCTAGGCCAGCCTGAGCTCCTCCAGTCAAGGGTTTACACAGCTGGGGAAACGGAAGCGGATTCCAAGCCACTTGGGCCGGGTCCACCTACGCTTTCCTTCTGCCCGTCAGCAGGACGCCTCGCGGACCACGAGGCCGCCGGCAGGCGGCTCGGGCCCTCCGGTGCCATCACCGTCAAGGCCCCACGGGAGGTCTGCGGCCTGTGAACTGGTGCTCCGAGAGCCAGGACCCCCGCCCCGCGGGGCATCCGCCAGAGACCCAAGCGGGGCCCGTGACGAGGGCAGCGGGCAGAAGGAAGAAGGAACTGCGGATTCTCGGTGCCGGCCGCAGGTCTGGGAGCGTTCGGCCAACCGCAGAGAGGGAAGGCGGGCAGGGAGGCAGGCGCCGGGGAGGTGAGGGGCGGGGGCCCGCCGTGCTCCGGGGAGGCGATGCCTGAGCGGCCCTCAGGACACTCGCCGTGGCCCCGTGGGGCGGGGGCTCCCGGGAGGCAGCGGGCCGTGCTCTGCCCTCCAAGGCCTGCCTCCGGCACCGTGCGGGCCTCCCACTGTCACGACCGGCCCGCGCAGACTCAGTTTGCAGCCCGCGCCGTGGCCGCCGGGGACCCAACACACGCGAGAAGGGGCACTCGGGTCTCCGTCACCAGCCGACCTGCTGATGCATTTCCCCACTGGACAGCGGAGCCCGCGTCCGGGGAGCGAAGCAGACCGCTCAACGTCACCCCTGTCTTCCCGGAGCTCTTTAGTTCCCTTCCTGCCCGCCCGGTCGCTCCCACCGGCTAAAAGCAAACGAAGCCACGGGGGCTAGAAGCCCACTCGCCGGAGGGCTTCCTGTGGCCTCCGCCTCGTGCACGGCCCCAGACGTGAGACTCACCAAGTGCCCCGGGGCCTCACGTGGACAATTATGATTACTCCTCACCGTGACCCTGACAGGTGAGTTCTGGGGCCAGCCCCATCCGGGAGGCTGCAAAGCAGGCTCAGAGGGATCAAATGACCCGCCCGATATCAGATATCACCCGAGTCTGACGGACCCTGAACCCACATTCTAACCTCCGGACCAACGGTTCTCAGCCGGGCCGGATCCTGCCCCAGGGGACACCAGGTGATGTCTGGGGACATCTGTGGTTGTCACGTAGGGGTGCTCCTAGCATCGAGGGGCTGGGGGCCAGGGGCCTGCTCCACCCCCCACGGCGCCCAGGACGCCCCCAAAGAGAATGGCTTGGCCCCACGTGAGCAGTCCCGAGGCTGAGAAACCCTGCTCTCGCCTACATTGCCACCTCACGTGGAACAGTCAGAACAGAGTCCTGGGGCATCGCAGAAAGGTAGGGGGAGGCGGGGGGAGGCAGGGGTCTTCCCAGACCTAGGACATCATCGGAAACTTGGGAACCTCAACGACACCCCCACAGGTCAGGGCTCCCGCGGCCACACCCCTTACCTTCTCCAACCTTCTGTGTGGTCGTGATCCAGGCGGAGCTTCTTAACCTTCCGCATTAACCACTCGGCTGACCTCAGGAGAGTGGGGGAGCCTGCGGGCAGAGAGACCCCCGGGCTGCAACCCCCAGCGGTCTGGGCGTGCCCGCTCTCGGCCCTCCTCGCCTGCCCACCGCTCCAGGCAGCCCTCCGTTGCTCCGGGGACATCCAATGCCAAGGGCGTTCTGAAGAGGCTCTGCCCGGAAATTCGAGAGGGTGCCTGGCATTTGCCAGAAACCAGCATCCTTTTTGTCGTGCAGTCCTCCCAAGGCGAGAAGTCCCCGAGAAGACGGCAGTCTTAAATGACGCCAAGGACGCCACCCCCCGTGCTCACCAGAAACCCAACAGTCCCAGGGTCCCCACTGTGGCCACACTCTGATGGCCTTCCTGACCTCCCCTTCTCGCCCCTGACCGTGATCTCCAACCACGCTGGCCTTACTCTCCCCTACACACACCGACTCCTTCCCACCCCAGGGCCTTTGCGCTTGCCGGTCCCACGGCCCAGGGGCCCTTCCCTGCCTTCTGTGGGACTCGCCCCTCTTCTCCTTCACGCCCCGGTCTCACCTCTGCAGAGGTCTTTCCGGACCCCCAATCCAAAGTCACCGCTTTGTCACCCCCACAAAGCATCCTGTCCTTCCATACAGAGCTAAGTCTGGGGTAGTGGCTCTCAAAGGGGAGGACTCTGCCCCCCCTCCCCAGAGAATGACTGGGGACAGCCGTGGTTGTCACAACTGGGGGTGCTCCTGGCACTGAGTGTGCCGAGGCAGAGAAACTCTGCATTCTTAATTTGGGGGGGGGCAGTGGAGTAAGATCCTCAGGCCCACACGAGACACTCGAATAAATCCCTGATGGGTCAGACTGTACAAACCACGGTGACCCCAGCGTCTGTGAGTGACCTCCCCTCTCCCTCAGTTCACAAATGTAAATGGTGCAACGTCCCAGGACCTCAGGAGCCCAAATGATTATGGAACACAGAGTCTCTTCGGGGCCAACTGCATCCCGTCACCCAGCGGGTCTCAACCAGGGTCAATTGTGCCCCCACGAGCCATTTTTGGTCATCACGGCTGGGAGACGGGCCCCCAGCACGCAGACCGGAGGCTGCTAATCAAACCACAAAACACAGGACGCTCGCCTCCACCCCCACTGCTAAGAGTGACGTGGCCCCAAACATCCCCAGTGCTGAGGCTGAGAACCCCTGCTCTGGGTGAGGGGACACCCTTCCCCGGGATGTCACTCCAGGGGGGCAGGCTTACACCCGTCCTGTTCCATGCCTGGCACACACAGGGTTTTCGGTAGAGTTAACGAGTCCCGGTCCTCCCTTGAACGCTGTCTGAAGTCAAAGGGAGCCCTGCTTTGGTCAACACCCGAACACCCTTGCGATGAGCCAGGCCCCAGGTGGCTGGGCGGGTGCCGAGAGGCTTCAAGAAAAGGGAAGCAGGGGCCCCTGGGTGGCTCAGTCAGTTGAGCATCCCACTTTGGCTCAGGTCACCATCTGGCAGCTCGAGAGTTCGAGCCCTGCGTCGGGCTCGCTGCTTGCTGTCCAGCCTGTCAGCACAGAGCCCGCTTTGGATCCTTTGTCCCCCCACCCCCACCCCCCTGCCCTGCCCTGCCCTTCCCCGCTTGCACTCTCCCAGAAATAAATAAATATTTGAGAAAAAGAAAGCAGCGCCTGGTCACAGCACCGAGGCCGTGGGCGAGCCCTGGCCTCACTCTCAGTCCTGTGGTGAAAAGAGGGGTGGCTGTGGTCAGGGAGATGGGCTCAAATCCTGACTCTACAACGTTTGGTCTCTGTGACCTTGAGAAACCACTCGACCTCTCGGCTAAGTCAAATTAGGTTGAGCGTAACCTCTCGGTTACATTGTGCTTCAGTTTCCGCAGCTGTGAGATGGGGCCACCGTACCTGCGTGGAGGGCTGCTGTGACCATTAAGGGCTCAAATAAAACACCAGATGCGACGGAACCTACGTCACAGCCGATACTGTCACCTAGATAAGTTACTGACCATCGGGCGGCGGGCGGGATTGGACCGACGCCCCCCTAAGAGCCAGGATCCCCACCAAAGGCTGACTGAGGGCCAGGCGCTGGGCTGGGCTCCCCGTGGGGAGGATGCGGCCACGCCCCCCCCTCCCCCCCCCCCAGCGCCCGAGGGCAGTGACCCCGGAGTTGCAGAAAACCACTTCCTGCAGATGTCTATATCCTGGAGCACGCAAATAAATCCCGCCAGCCCACACGCCAGCCGCCACCGTCACCCCACGGCCGGCACCACTGACCTCCTAAAGGGTCCAGAAAGCCTCCATTCCAGCCGCAGGCGTGGGATACAGACCCTGATGGAACAAGCATGCCGTTAGTGCAGCAGGTCAGCAGAGAGCCTGGCCAAAACAGCCCGCTCTCCTTCCCCTCGAGAGTCCTGACCCCCCCCCCACCCCATTCTCTCTACCTGGACAGATCCTAGAGCCACCTCACCGCCCTGCAATGCCGCCTGCGTGCCCTGAACTGCACCGGGGAGGAAAGAGCTCCCCCATCCGGCCCAGTCCTCCCGGGAACCAGCCAGGGACTCGACCACAGTGCACACCTCCAGGGCTTTAGTCCAAGCTCCTGGAAAGCACGCTGGTTCTTGCCACTGAGGCAAGTGACTTCCTCCCGGTGGGGGGGGCGGCGGGGGAAAACGGAACGCGCGGGGCCCTTCTGACGGCTCGGCGGCAGTGTGGACGGGGAAGTGTCAAGACTGGTCTAGAGCCCGGTGGGAAGCAGGTGGGCGGCTGGACAGGGCCGGAAGGGAGGCTGAGAAGGGGCTGGAACCCGTGGGGGTGTGGATTAGGGGAAGCCAAGCGCCCGGGGAGGGGTGAGTGGGTGGGGGCAGGAAGCAGGTCCCGGAGGCGGCCTCTGCTCTCGGACGGGGAGCATGTGTTTGCACGGGGAGGGGACCTCCAGGGCCTGCAGGGAAGGAGCGCCGTCGTGGGTGCGGCCGCTCCCGGAAGGGACCGGAGCCAGGTGGCTCGGACAGCGACGGGACGAGAGGGGAGGCTGGGCCGAGCGAGGCTGAGAGGTGGCCCGGCCACCGGAGGAGGCAGAAGGGGAAGAAGGGCCGAGGAGGGCCCGGGGCGGAAGGGAAACCGAGGCGGGGGCCGTTGGAACCGGGAGTGTGGCCAAAGGCAGGGCCGGGGCGCGGGGAGGCCGGGGCGGAGGGCGCCCGAGAGGCCGGCCAATGGCGGGTCCGGGGTCAGGGCTGAGGTGGGGCCGGTCAATGGCGGGCTCGGGGTCGCGGCCGACGCGGGACGGGGCGCGCAGGCGCTGCTCACCGGGCTCGGGGCAGGCGCGGAGCGGCGGCCGGGCTGGGAAGGGCGTCCCGGGGCCGGAGGCGCCTCACGCTAGAGGCTCCATGCCCGGGACTGCGGCCCCGGAAGTGGCGGGCGCGGGGGACGGCGGCGGCGGCGGACACGGGGTAGCCGGTGGCTCAGGCCCCTTTGACCCGGAAGTTGAGCGGCCCAGGCGGCGGCCTACGATTGGCCGCCGCCCGGACGGTACCAAGGTGGCTGCGATCCTGGGGGGGGGACGCGCCCGCACAGTCCCTGGCGGCCAGAGGCTTGGAATTTCCCTCGGCAGCATCTTCCGGCGCGGGGAGCTGGAGGGGACATCGGAGAGAGGCGCCCCTGTGCGGTTTGGTATCGCCCAGCCCGACCGATGGGGCTTCTACTAATGGCGCTCAGAGAAGGCAGTGTTTGCCGGAGCGTTGGTGGTATAGTGGTTAGCATAGCTGCCTTCCAAGCAGTTGACCCGGGTTCGATTCCCGGCCAACGCAGGCGACGGTGTTGTTTTTCACCCCCCCCCCCCCGCATAGCCTGTTGAAACGTCCCTCATAAGAAAAAGAAATTGCCGAATTAAAGTTTTTCCTACCTTGCAATGACTTTCAAAGCGACGGGAGAAATTTAAAAACCTCGTCCCGGTGACCCTGGAGTAGGGTTTACCTGCCGTCCTACGCTGAGAAAACGCGTGTTTCCGCCCGGGATCGAACCGGGGACCTTTCGCGTGTGAGGCGAACGTGATAACCGCTACACTACGGAAACTGGCGAGAGGCGGCTTTTCTGGGACGCCTATACAGCCTGCTTTTGCGGGGATTCCCGCGCTTCCGGCCCGCGCCCCGCGGAAGGGAGGAGGGGCGGGGGGTGGGGGGAGGCCGGTTGGGGGGGGGTCTCGGAGGAGCGCGCTTCCCCCTCCCCACCCCCCCCAGACCAGGAGGAGAGCGAGGCAGTGGCCTCAGGTGCAGACATGAAGGGGGTGCCAGAAAACGCAACAATCAAGACAAATGGATATTTTCAGGCAACACACCAAAATACTCCTGTTACTAGCAATAGAATTCCCTAACGAACAATGTATCAAAACCGTACGTGGACACAGGTTTCGGCAGTGCCCTGCCCAACCGCAGTGGAGTCTGAGGCAGGAGCAAGAATGTGCATTTTTGAGTGGCTCTGGGGCCCCCCGCCCGAGTATCCTCAAGAAAATATTGACACTTAAAGTGTATGACAATTCAATTCAAAACATTAAGAACTTTATGGTAATGTTACTCTCCTGCGCTTAACGGAAACAAACACATCAATACTTTCAACATCTGCTTCTGCGGGAAAATTAACCAAGGAACAGCATGCGAAACACCCGTTGACGGGACGCACGTCGTTCCTTGTGCCCCAGTGCCCCCTGGGGCCCGGCAGACCACTGTCACGGCCATGTATCATGAAGACCTAGACTCCTTTCCTACTGCTGCTGGGACAGAGTGCCACGGACGGTGGCAGAGTCTGTGGGCAGCCTGGCCAGACTCAGACATCGTTCCGTCCACCGCCTCCTCCCCTGAGCTGGAGGCAGCTCCTTCCTTCCAGATGCTCACCCGGAACCTGGGAGCTGCCCTGGGCTCTTTTCTCCGCCACCCACGTCCAATCACCCAGCACATCCGATTAGCGCTGCTTTCAAACACGCCCCAAATCTGATCATTTCTTCCCCACCGGACGGCCATCACGTTGGCCCGCCCCATCGCCACAGTCCTGTACCTGTGCCCCTCTGCCCCCTGCCAAGCCTCCTGCTCTCCCCGCCCCCCCCAGTCCGTCCTCCCCGCAGTGGCCACCAGAGGGTGCCTGTAAGCACCAAGTCAGGGCCCACCCTCCTCTCTCGGCAGCCCTCCAGGGCAGAAGCCCGAGTCCTTCCCATAATCCTCAAGGCCCCGCTTGACCTGTGGCAGTCCCCTCCCTGCCCTCTTGTCTAACCTTTCTCACGCTCCCTCACTCCGCTCCAGCCAAACAGGCCTCCTCGCTGCTTGCGCCTCCAACTGCCAGGCAGAGCCCTGCCCCAGGACCTTTGCACGGGCTGTGACCTCTGGTTTCTCCCAGGTATTTTTTCCGGCTCATTATCTCTCCTCCTGCGATTCTTGATTTCAATGTTACCTTCTCAGAGGAGGCTTCCCTGCGCCCCTCCCGCCTTGGCATCCACAAATTCAGTTTCCACCGTTGCACCGTGTTCTTTCAAAGGCTTATCAGTCTCCGAAACGATCCCATTTGTGGATTTGTTTTCTCGTCTCTCTTCTGTCTCCTCCCCTAGACTGCGGCCTCCTCTCCCAGTGCACAGTTTGCCTGTTTGTTTGCCTTCTGTTTCTTCAGTAACCGTTTCTTGAAATTACAGAGAGTTGGCCGGAGGAGAAAAGGCCTGGGCGCGGGAACGAAGCAATACAGGTGGGCTTCCTGGTGGAGGGGGAGTAGCTCAGAAAACATGTTGTCTCCCTGTGAACCCCGTCAAGCCCTGAGAGCTCATTCACCCGCCAAACGAAACAGCAAAAACTCCCTTCAAAGGATTACTTGGGCCGTTCAAACGCACTTGGGGGCACTTGTTTGCCAGTGAGGTCCTGCCAGCGATCGGGGGGGGGGGGGGGGGGC